ATTAGAAGTGGTTTGAGTTTGGTATTTTTTTGGATAGGGAAGAGGCTGAGCCAAACTAATGCAGTTTTTACTTTGAAGTATTAATGAGTTCTGATTAAAGGATGAGTCTGATCTATATACCTCCTGCAACTCCATTGGCTAGTGCCTAAGGATGGGCAGTGAGCAAGTGCAGAGGGATAAGTATTTGCCACGCAGACCCCACTGAGCCGCTGTTTGGAACAGATAAGAGGTGACAAAAATGATGCTGGCTGCTGCTTCTGCACCCTCCTCCTGCTCCTCAACATCCCTCCCTGGCAGCAGCCCATTACCCATCGTGCAAGCAAGGGAACAAACGGAGTAATACCCAGAGCCATAGGGAGCACTTGGTTTATCACCCTTTGCTCCTCAACGCGAGTGTTTGGTAGCTGGGAAGAGAAGACACTCTGCGGGGATGGGGCGCTGGGGGTTTATCGTTTCGTGTCCCTGCGCTGCAGTTCTAACTACACACGCAGGGGCCAGTTCCTCCTCAGCACAAAGCAACTGACTTCAGGAAATTACATCAGGGCTAGCATTTAAAATACAGAAAATACACAATAATATATTTGAATAGTATGCACTTTGACCATAATGACATTTAGGGAAGCTAAAAAAAAAATAAGGTAAGTGACCATCTGCTCCCAAGCTTGTTTCTGCTGTGTAAAGAATGTCAAGGGTCTTTTTTTTACTTTTCCGGAAGCAAACAAATGGTTTATTCAGCAGGGATCATGGCTATAGACCAAGACAATCAGCCAAGTGTGGGTTCAGAGAAAAAAATGACTTTTCAGCTCTAACCCCAGACCCTCCTTTCCATTTTTTTTTTCCCAGCTCATTAAGTTAGCATTAACAAAACATGACCATTCAAAGGCAGGAAGGCTATTCAAAGCATTTGTATTCTTAAATGCCTCCAACAGTGAAAGACAAACACTTTACTTGTATTATCAGATGATTAAGTTTGCTTTTCCATGTATATAAATTATATTACTTATACAAACACACACAGAGGACATAGGATCAATCACACCAGGGCTGCAGGTTCAAACCCCTAACGTCCTAGCTGAGCACAGCACTTACAAATATAGTAAGCATTAAAGCACATGGTTACAGGGTTTTGTTGGATCAGAGTTCAACTATTTAATTAAAATTACCTCCATCCAGCTGGAGACATCTGTGATGGAGACTGGGAGGAGGGAGGGAAGAAGGTTTGTGCTGCTGTGCACCCGCTCTCACATAACCCAAAAGCACAACCAAGGTGTTTTGCAGACACCCCCCAGCTTCCCTGATAACTCAATAAACCCCATTGCATGCCTGCCTTCCCCCGCACAGCCCCGGCCACAGCAGGCAAGGGGAGGTGGCAGATACGGGTTTCTTGTAGTACTTAACATGGGCATGCTCATGGTGTGAAGATGGAGTGAGAAAAACATGGGCACCATCAGGCAGGTGACAAGTACCTCCAGGGGCCCCTGGGCTGCTGTTGCCATCTCTTCCTTGTCTGTCACCCATGAGCATCCCCCGGCAGCCTGCCCAGGGAAGCCCAAGTACTGGGGGGTGCACCAAAGGAGCTGCCGCCTCCTGCTGTGTCCAGGTTATTTATGGTGGTTGCAAACACAAAGTCCAGAAGGTGTCATCTGTGCTAAACCCCTGAAGCATATCAAATACCTGAAGACCTTTAGTCTGCAGCCAAGAAATATGCTAGGCATCACTACAGAAGCCCTAGTATGCCCTGCATCAGGTAACTTATAGAATCATGGGATGGTTTGGGTTGGAAGGGATCTTTAAATGTCATCTAGTCCAACCCCCCTGCACTAAGCAGGGGCATCTTCAACTACATGAGGTTGCTCACAGTCCCGTCCAACCTGACCTTGAATGTTTCCAGGGACGGGTCTTCTGCCACCTCTCTGGGCAACCTGTGCCAGTGTTTCACCACCCTCATAATAAAAAATTTCTTCCTTACATCTACTCTAAATCTGCCCTCTTTTGGTTCAAAACCATTACCCTTTGTCCTATTGCTACAGGCCCTGCTAAAAAGTTTGTCCCCATCTTTCTTACAGGTCCCCTTTAAGTACTGAAAGGCCTCAATAAGGTCTCCCTGGAGCCTTCTCTTCTCCAGGCTGAACAACCCCAACCCTCTCAGCCTTTCTTCACAGGAGAGGTGTTCCAGACCCCTGATCATTTTTGTGGCCCTCCTCTGGACCCCCTCTCCAGCAGGTCCATGTCTTTCTTGTGCTGAGGACTCCAGAGCTGGACACAGGACTCCAGTAATTATACTTAGTATAATTATAGTAATAGAAATAATAAATAACAGTCCCACATACAGCCGCAGTTACAGTATTACAGCTTGTGTCCTTTCTCCTGTGAGTATCACTGGCTACTAACTCACAGAAGATATACAGACATTGGGAGACTCATATATCAGAAGCAATTCATTTATGGCCACTAGCAAAAATCCACTTTGCTATTGCAGAAGAAAAACAAATAAAGCCATTGCTATTGCAAGCTGCTCCCCAAAATCCCTGTTATCTTTCACTGTACCATAAGAAATTTCAGCTTCAGGTGGCAAATATTTGAGAAAGCTGGAACCAAATGAATGTAGGTGGTTAGCATGAGGAGGTGGGGGCAGAACTTAAGTTTCCAGTAGGTCTGAAGTCACTTTATCCAGGTAGCAGGAACCCATGTAGACTTCCCAGAATTTTATAGGTCTTAAAGAAAGGT